ACAACGTCTTGGTTACTTTTCTATTGCTGTGACAAATACCATGGCCAAGGCAACTTATAAAAGAGAGTGTTTAATTGCTTTTCCAGTTTCACAATGCTGGCAGAAATAGCTAAGGGCTCACATCTCAAATTGCATGTAGGAGGCACAGAACATAGCACTATAGGCCTGGTGTGAGTCTTGAAATCTCAAGCTTACCCCCAGCGACACACCTCCTCCAACAAGGCCACATCACTTCATCCTTCCCAAACACTTCTACCAACCCAAGGAGCGAGTATTGAAATAAATGACCCTCTGGGGATTATTTCCATTAAAATCGCAGCTGGGGACCCTGGAGGTGTGGGAGAGCTAGTGAGGAGGATAGAGGCCCAAGAGATTGAGGAGATAGTGAGGGCCCAAGAAGAGGGCACAGAGGAAGCAAGGATGTTGACAGAACTCGCTAAGGGAAGTTTCTGGTTCTCCTGGTCCTGCAGCTGTTTAGTCCCAAATAAAGACACAGAGGCTAATATTAATTATGAACTGTTTGGCCGATGGCTTGGGCTTCTTACTGGCTAGCTCTCTCTTAATTATTAACCCATTTCTATTAATCTGTATATCTACACATGGTCTTGGCTTACTGGTGGTGCCCAGGTCTCTTCTCGCCTTGGCAGCTACATGGCATCTCCCTCTTTTCCTCTTCCCAGCATTCTCCTAGTGTGGTAGCCCCACCTATTCTTCCTGCCTGGCTACATCCTTCCTATCCATTGGTTGAAATAACTTCTTGTCTTGCAGCACTGAAGAAGGCTTGCAAGAGGGACTTCTGGGCTCGATTACAGTGCTCTGTGCCAGGGAGGGCACTGACCTACCTGCTACTGCCCTGCACGCTGCCTTTTGAGTATGTCTACTTCCGGAGCAGGAGGTGAGGTAGCCTGGGCTGAGGGGGCAGGTTTGTGGCCAATGAGGGTAGCTGAACGGCTAGAGCTGGCAGGCACCTGCCTTCCTCGTACTACCTGCTTGGGCTGGCCCATGGAGTGCCTGGGTAAGCTCTGCCAAAGAGGACTTGTAGGGAGGTGGTATGGTTAGTACCTAGACTGTTCTGTGACCTTCTGCCCTTTGTTCCATGGTCAGAGCCTTGGTGACAACATGCTGCCCCTGGCAACTTTCCCAGCTGGTCTATCTCAGATTGGCTGTGCGGTCTAGGCCAACTCTCTGAGTCAGGACACTTTTTCTGAAAACAAGGCTCCTTCAGGTCAGTCTGTCTATAGCTGAGCCTTCATGCTGAACATTTGGCCTTGCTGGGTTAGGAGACCATGCTGCTTTGTCTGCTCACTCACCAGCTGCTGAGAGCTGACAAGGGACCAGGTATTAGTTTGGGTCAAGAGAGGCAGGCTGACCCTGACCTTGCTCCTGGCCTGGCAGAGCACACAACCATTGCATGTGTACCTGTGCTTTGTAACTTCTAGGAGAGAGCCACATTACCTTGAGCTAGCCCTGCCCATATTCAGAACTGTTTGTTCAGGGAAGACAGGTGATGGCATCTGAGCTATTGTCTTAAGGATGTGCCAAGTCCATCAGGCAAAGAGGAAGGAAAAGCCTTCCAAGTAGACAGATACTGTGTGCAAAGGTCCTGGGTCAGAAGGGAGTCAGGCACATCCAAGAAACCCAAGGAAAGGTGTGACTGTAGTGCAAACAAGTGTCTGTATGAGATGGGGCTAGAGAGTGGCCGGGGCCAGATATGCGGGGGCCTGCGTTCAGGCTAGCAAGCTTCATCCAAACAGAGGAGTGCTATAGGGAGATCAAAGTTTTGCTTTGAGATAGGATCTTGCTATGTAATCCAGAGTGGTTTTGAACTCAAGGTTTCCTCTGTCTGGGACTCCAGCCATGTGCTCCAACACTAGACCTGAAGGCTTTCTTTCTTTCTTTCTTTCTTTCTTTCTTTCTTTCTTTCTT